CTTTATTTTTTTAATTAGTTTTTATAATTAAAAATATCGCAATCCAAAACAAATAAACTGTTTGTACCGAAGTTAAAGTGTCAAATTTGAGAGATTAATGCACTTTGCTAAACCAGAACCTAAGCCTGATGCACCAATTGCACCAATTTAATTGACACTTTTTAAATATTGAAGAAAAAATGTATGATTAAATAGCTAATTAGAAGGAAAAAATGAAGAAAAAATATGAAATAATAAGATTAATTAATATTAAAAGTAAAAGTTGAAAATAAAATGATGAGTTAAATTAACAAAGAAAGAACAAAAAAAAGCAAGCACAATAAAAAGAAATAGAAAAACAAAAAAGAGCTTTATTGTTTTAAATTAGTTTTTATAATTAAAAATATCACAATCCAAAACAAATAAACTGTTTGTACCTAAGATCAAGTGTCAAATTTGAGAGATTAATGCACTTTGCTAAACCAGAACCTAAGCCTGATGCACCTTCGTCACCAATTTAATTTCCACTTTTTAAATATTGAAGAAAAAATATATGATTAAATAGTTAATTAGAAGGAAAAAATGAAGAAAGAATATGAAATAACAAAATTAATTAATATTAAAAGTAAAAGTTGAAAATAAAATGATGAGTTAAATTAACAAAGAAAGAACAAAAAAAAGCAAGCACAATAAAAAGAAATAGAAAAACAAAAAAGAGCTTTATTGTTTTAAATTAGTTTTTATAATTAAAAATATCACAATCCAAAACAAATAAACTGTTTGTACCGAAGTTAAAGTGTCAAATTTGAGAGATTAATGCACTTTGCTAAACCAGAACCTAAGCCTGATGCACCAATTGCACCAATTTAATTGACACTTTTTAAATATTGAAGAAAAAATGTATGATTAAATAGCTAATTAGAAGGAAAAAATGAGGAAAAAATATAAAATAATAAGATTAATTAATAATAAAAGCAAAAGTAGAAAATAAAATGATGAGCTTAATTAACAAAGAAAGAACAAAAAAAAGCAAGCACAATAAAAAGAAAAAGAAAAAGAAAAAAGAGCTTTATTGTTTTTAATTAGTTTTTATAATTAAAAATATCACAATCCAAAACAAATAAACTGTTTTTACTCAAGGTAAAGTGTCAAATTTGAGAGATTAATGCAATTTGCTAAACCAGAACCTAAGCCTGATGCACCCATATCACCAATTTAATTTTTACTTTTTAAATATTGAAGAAAAAATATATCATTAAATAGAGTAAGTTACCATACAAATTTACAAAAAGGGAGTTTTATATACCAGTTTTTATATTTTATAAAATTAAAATTTTAAATATTTTTTATGAATTTTTTTCCATCATAGGTTTTCAAAATTTATTTTTTCAAAAAAAAAGATATGTTATGATTTCTAAAAATTAGCTTTATTAATAATTTTATTATGATATAAATTAAATAGGTATTTCACTCAAGTTAATTTGGAGGAATAAATGAAGAAAAAGATGATAAGATTAATTAATAATTAATAAAATTAACAAAGAATGAAAAAATAAGAAATCATAATAAAAAGAATAAAGAAAACAAATTGAATAAATTAAAAGAACTATAATGTTTTAAATTAACTTTTATAATTAAAAATTTTTCAATCTAAAACAAATAAATAGCTTTTATTAAGTGTAAGTTTTAATAGCATAAAATGAAGAAAAAATATCAAATAATAAAAAATGAATAATAAATAATTAAAAATTGAAATGAAAATTAAGTTAAAATAGCTAAAAAATTTTAGTTTTAACAAAAATCAATAAATAATGATGATAATTTTGTTTATAAAAATTGTTTATTTAAATAAATTGATTATTAAATATACAAAAAATATCAATAATAATAAAAATAGTATCTTTTAATTAAATATACCTCAGATCAATATGGAGAACCTAATGAGATAAAAGTGAAGAGCTTTTAAACTTTTTTTATTAATTTTTATAAATTTAAAGGATATTAATAAAAAAATTAATAATTACTTTTTCGAGATTATTATACTTTTTAATCTATTATATCATTTATTTTTTTTTTCAAAAATATTGAATAGCAATTTATGAAATTTAATTAATTAATTAATTATAAAAGGATAAAAAGAACAAATAAATATAACAATTAATTAATTATCAAATATTAATTTATATATTTGGTTCTATGATGAGATATCACATCAAATTGATTTAACTTTCACTATTTAAACTTAATATTTGTATTTAAAACATATAATTTAAAATATAGTAGGAATTAGAGATGGCCAGTTATTTATTTAGTCATATTTGAAAAAAACCTTGTAGTTAATGTTCTTAAATATAATAAAAATAATTTATCAGTAGATTTTTCTGTTTTAGCTCTGTAATTTTGGAATATTTATAATATCTTTAATTATAGCCAGATGCCATACAAAAATTTCATAATGACATATTATGAAATATATTTTTTTATTTATTTATTAAAAAATCTGATTTATATATATATATATATTTTTTAAATGAATTATAATTAATTTAAAATTTAATCTATTATAATTTCAATAATAAATAATTTTTTTACATCAAAATATTTTTTTTGACTTTTAAAATTAAGAAATTATTTGAGAAAATTACAAAAAATATAAAGTATTTATTATTAAAATAATATTACAAATCAGCAATGAAATTTTAATCCTATGTAATTATTATCTACATTTATGCCAGAAAATTTAATTCTAGTTTTACCTTTTGGTGAAACATTCTATTATTATTAAGAAAAATTAGATTATTAAAGATAATAAATAACCAGTTAATCTGATTATTTTTAAAATTCAATCCTGCTTTTAATTATGGAAAAGAAAAGCAAGAGCTATTACAAAACTAATGAATGCATACATTCATTTAAATATTTTCAGTCAATTTTTAAAATATACCTGATTTTAACTCTTTAATTTAATAATCTATTACAATCAATTAATTAAATTATTAAAATATATCATTTACTCTTTGTCTTTATAATTTTACTGATACCATTTTTAACTTAAAGATCATACAATTTTAAAGCTTATTAGCATTTAAAATATATTACTTGATATAAAATCAAAAGAACAATTAATAAAAATGGATGTAAAAAAACCAAACATTTAACTTAATAATAGCAATTAGGGTTGCTAAAAATTTGATAAATCTATTTAAAAACTGAAATAAAAACAAATGCTATCTTTAAATTAGTAAAATTATTTTTTAAAGACAACTGATGCATAAAATATTAGCTTGAAGATGAATGTCATTAATCTAATTCTTCACATTAATGGAAGTCAAAAAACTACTTTTTAAAATTTTAGGCTTTATTTTGATCCAATTGTTAATAATAATACTCTTTTAGTATGCATTTATTACCTTAATGAAAGATTGGAGATATAAAAATGGAGTTAATTGGTTTTAGTTATTTTTATATGAGTGGATGGATTGTAAATTATTGATTATTTTTTTCTAACTTTAACACTTGAAATTAAAATTGAATAGAACTTAGATTTAATTAAGAATATATATTAATTTGATTGATAGGATGAATATCCATAATTTAGACAATAAAAAAATATCTAAGTATTTATTAGGTGAAAATTAATTAATATATCTATGGTTCTAAATTAAGAATCAAATGTTCGATTTCATTTATTTTAAGTAATATTTACATTATAATAAACAAATACTACCCTATTCCTCGATATATAATTTGCATTGATATTATTAAAAAATTATTTTAAAGATTAGAAAATTAGTTAGAAAGTAGTTCAAATTTAGAAGATATTTTATATATAAATTAATAAAATTAATATATTTTTATAACTATTTTTTATATAAGTAGTTTGTTTTAAAATTGAAGTAGGGGGTGATTTTTTATTGATTCGTATGAAAAAGCATTAAAAATGATTGGTTAGGTAAAAAAAAATTTTTTTAAATATTAAAAAATAAAACATATAATTAATATTCAATTATTCTAACATTCATATAATATTTATTCATCCTTTTTTTACCACTTGTTTATCATCAAAAATGTATTTTAAAGACAACTAATCTTTTTGATTTAAGACACTTGCTTTTGAATTTCTATGATTTATTCATTTTGTTATAACTTTTTTAATAAATTTGTGTAAATTTTAATGAAATATTAAATTAAATAAAATTATAAATTAAAAATTATTTCTTATAATAAATAAATAAAATAAAGTTAGTGAAATAAAAAAGATAAAAAAAATAAATCAAATAAAAGCTATCAAATCATTTCAAATGAGCTTTATTTTTTTAAATTAGTTTTTATAATTAAAAATATCGCAATCCAAAACAAATAAACTGTTTGTACCGAAGTTAAAGTGTCAAATTTGAGAGATTAATGCACTTTGCTAAACCAGAACCTAAGCCTGATGCACCAATTGCACCAATTTAATTGACACTTTTTAAATATTGAAGAAAAAATGTATGATTAAATAGCTAATTAGAAGGAAAAAATGAAGAAAAAATATGAAATAACAAAATTAATTAATATTAAAAGTAAAAGTTGAAAATAAAATGATGAGTTAAATTAACAAAGAAAGAACAAAAAAAAGCAAGCACAATAAAAAGAAATAGAAAAACAATAAAGAGCTTTATTGTTTTAAATTAGTTTTTATAATTAAAAATATCACAATCCAAAACAAATAAACTGTTTTTACCGAAGATCAAGTGTTAAATTTGAGAGATTAATGCACTTTGCTAAACCAGAACCTAAGCCTGATGCACCTTCGTCACCAATTTAATTTCCACTTTTTAAATATTGAAGAAAAAATGTATAATTAAATAGTTAATTAGAAGGAAAAAATGAAGAAAAAATATGAAATAATAAGATTAATTAATATTAAAAGTAAAAGTTGAAAATAAAATGATGAGTTAAATTAACAAAGAAAGAACAAAAAAAAGCAAGCACAATAAAAAGAAATAGAAAAACAAAAAAGAGCTTTATTGTTTTAAATTAGTTTTTATAATTAAAAATATCACAATCCAAAACAAATAAACTGTTTTTACTCAAGGTCAAGTGTCAAATTTGAGAGATTAATGCACTTTGCTAAACTAGAACCTAAGCCTGATGCACCTTCGTCACCAATTTAATTTCCACTTTTTAAATATTGAAGAAAAAATATATGATTAAATAGCTAATTAGAAGGAAAAAATGAAGAAAAAATATGAAATAACAAAATTAATTATAGCACTTTGCTATTTTAAAAATCAGCTGATGGAGCTGATATTAGAAATAGCAAAGTGCTATATTTTTAAAGTAGAAAACCAGTTTAATTAGACTGGTTTTCACTTAAATAAATTACTAAGCCAAAGTAAGTTTTAAGTGATTACATTACAAAATCATGAAAATATATTTTATTTTTTATATAATTGCCCTCCTTTTTTAAATCTTAAAATATTCCATTGTGCCCTCATTTTACAAATTAAATTTGATTCATAAATACATATAAAAAAATTAAAAAAGATATTTTCTTTTTACTTTTAAAACCTAATGGCTATGTGCTGTTTAGCAGCAATAGCCATTTTTTAAAATAGCAAAGTGCTATAATATTAAAAGTAAAAGTTGAAAATAAAATGATGAGTTAAATTAACAAAGAAAGAACAAAAAAAAGCAAGCACAATAAAAAGAAATAGAAAAACAATAAAGAGCTTTATTGTTTTAAATTAGTTTTTATAATTAAAAATATCACAATCCAAAACAAATAAACTGTTTTTACCGAAGATCAAGTGTTAAATTTGAGAGATTAATGCACTTTGCTAAACCAGAACCTAAGCCTGATGCACCTTCGTCACCAATTTAATTTCCACTTTTTAAATATTGAAGAAAAAATGTATAATTAAATAGTTAATTAGAAGGAAAAAATGAAGAAAAAATATGAAATAATAAGATTAATTAATATTAAAAGTAAAAGTTGAAAATAAAATGATGAGTTAAATTAACAAAGAAAGAACAAAAAAAAGCAAGCACAATAAAAAGAAATAGAAAAACAAAAAAGAGCTTTATTGTTTTAAATTAGTTTTTATAATTAAAAATATCACAATCCAAAACAAATAAACTGTTTGTACCTAAGATGAAGTGTCAAATTTGAGAGATTAATGCACTTTGCTAAACCAGAACCTAAGCCTGATGCACCTTCGTCACCAATTTAATTGATACTTTTTAAATATTGAAGAAAAAATGTATGATTAAATAGTTAATTAGAAGGAAAAAATGAAGAAAAAATATGAAATAACAAAATTAATTAATATTAAAAGTAAAAGTTGAAAATAAAATGATGAGTTAAATTAACAAAGAAAGAACAAAAAAAGCAAGCACAATAAAAAGAAATAGAAAAAGAAAAAAGAGCTTTATTGTTTTAAATTAGTTTTTATAATTAAAAATATCACAATCCAAAACAAATAAACTGTTTGTACCTAAGATAAAGTGTCAAATTTGAGAGATTAATGCACTTTACTAAACCAGAACCTAAGCCTGATGCACCAATTGCACCAATTTAATTTCCACTTTTTAAATATTGAAGAAAAAATATATGATTAAATAGTTAATTAGAAGGAAAAAATGAAGAAAAAATAATAAAAAGAAATAGAAAAAGAAAAAAGAGCTTTATTGTTTTAAATTAGTTTTTATAATTAAAAATATCACAATCCAAAACAAATAAACTGTTTTTACTCAAGTTAAAGTTTTAAATTTGAGAGATTAATGCACTTTGCTAAACCAGAACCTAAGCCTGATGCACCTTCGTCACCAATATAATTTTGACTTTTTAAATATTGAATAAAAAATATATCATTAAATAGAGTAAGTTGCCGTACAAATTTACAAAAAGTGAGTTTTATATACCTAGTTTTTACATTTTATAAAATTAAAATTTTAAATATTTTTTCTGAATTTTTTTTCATCAAAAATCAAAAATTTTTAATCTGATTTTTTTTTCAAAAAAAATGATATGTTATAAGAATATACGGTAAATACTATTTCAAATTTTGTATTTTGTGAATTTAAAGCTTTCTAAAAACTCAAAAATAAAGCTATTTAAAGCTAATTAAGCTTTATTAATTATGTTATTAAGATATATTACATTTAGTCTTTTCTAAATTAAATAGGCATTTCACTCTAGTTAATTAGAAGGAAAAATTGAAGGAAAAATATGAAATAATAAGATTAATTTATAATTAATAAAATTAACAAAGGATGAAAATAAAAAGAAAAAGGAAAATAAATCAAATAAATAAATTAAAAGAGCTTTAATGTTTTAAATTAACTTAAATAATTAAAAATATTACAATCCAAAACTAATAAACTGCTCTTATTAAGGAGAAGTTTTAATAGCAAAAAAATAAAATATCAAATAATAAATAAATAATTAAAAATTGAATTGAAAATTAAGTTAAAATAGCTAAAAAATTTTTATTTTAATAAAATCAATAAATAATGATGAGAATTTCTATAACAAAAATTATTTATTTAAATAAATTGAAAATTAAATACATAAAAAATATTAATAATAATAAAATAAATATTTATAAATAAAATATACTAAAGATTAATATGGAGAACCTCATGAGATAAAAGTGAAGAGCTTAAAAACTTTTTTTATTAATTTATTTAAATTTAAAGGATATTAATAAAAAAATTAATAATTACTTCTTCTAATTCGTAATATTCTTTAATCTATTATATCATTTATTTTTTTTTTCAAAAATATTGAATAGCAATTTATGGAATTTAATTTATTAATTAATTATAGATGGATAAAAAGAACAAATAAAATAAATAAATAATGAATTATCAAATATTAATTTATAAATTTGGTTTTATGAAGGGATATCATATAAAAATTAAGTTAACATTCATTATTTAATCTTAATATTTGTATTTAAAATATATACATAAAAATATATATAGTAGGAATTAGAGATGAGTAGTTAGTTAGTAATATTTGGAAGAATTCTAATAATTAATTAATTGATTTCTCCCTAAATTTTAAAACCCCTCAGATTCCTTAATATGATTGATTGATTGATGGATACTATTTAAGATTAAAATTAAACTGTAATATAAAAGCTTGGCATTTTTATTATTTAATAAGATATAATATAACACTAAAAATTTCAAATGATTTGATTGTTTTTTTATTATTTATTAGCTATTTGTTAACTTACAAAAATATGAGTGATATTTATAAATATAAAAACAATAATAAAATATATCTATTTATGTATGTATCTATATTGTAGGTTAAAAAAACTTTTTCAAAATATTATATAATAAAACATATAATTAATATTCAATTATTCAAACATTTATATAATATTTATTCATCCTTTTTTTGCCACTTGTTTATCAATAGAATGATTATTTTAAGACAACTAATCTTTTTGATTTAAGACACTTCCTTATTACTTTTAATTATTATGATTCATCCATGAAGTTAGAACTTTTATTAAAAATTTGTACAAATTTTAAAAAAATAGTAAATAAAATAAACTTTTAAATTAAAATTTATTTCTTAAATTAATAAATAAATAAATAAAATAATATTAGTGGAATAAAAAAGATAAAAAATAAATCAAATAAAAGATATCAAATAAATTCAAGGAGCTTTTTTGTTTAATATTCATTTTTATAGTTAAAAATATCACAATCCTAAATAAATAAACGGTTTTTACCGAAGATCAAGTGCCAACTTTGAGAGGTTAATGCATTTTGCTAAACCAAAACCTAAGCATGATCCACCTATTACACCAATCATATTGTTACTTTTTAAATAAAGAAGAAAAAATAAAAAATTAAATAGTTAATTAGAAGGAAAAAATGAAGAAAAAATACGAAATAATAATATTAATTAATAATACAGGCAAAAGTTGAAAATAAAATTATGAGTTAAATTAAAAAAGAAAGAATAAAAAAAGCAAGCAAGCACAATAAAAAGAAAAAAGAGCTTTTATTGTTTTAAATTAGTTTTTATAATTAAAAATATCACATATCCAAAACAAATAAACTGTTTTTACCGAAGATCAAGTGCCAAATTTGACAGATTAGTGCACTTTGCTAAACCAGAACCTAAGTCTGATGTACCTTCATCACCAATTTTATTCCAACTTTTTAAATATTAAAGAAAAAATAAAAAATTCAATAGTTAATTAGAACGAAAATATGAAGAAAAAATATGAAATAATAAAATTAATTAATTAATTAATAATGCAAGTAAAAGTTGAAAATAAAATTATGAGTTTAATTAACAAAGAAAGTATGAATAAAAAAAAGCAAGCAAGCAAAATAAAAAGAAAAATGAGCATTTATTGTTTTAAATTAGTTTTTATAATTAAAAATATCACAATCCAAAACAAATAAACTGTTTTTACCGAAGTTCAAGCCTAAAACTTGAGAGATTAATGCATTTTGCTAAGCCAGAACCCAAGCCTGATGCACCTTCATCATCAATTTTATTCATACTTTTAAATATTAAAGAAAAATATTTAATTAAATAGTTAATTAGAAGGAAAAAATAAAGAAAAATAATGAAATAATAAGATTAATAAATTAATAATAAAAGTAAAAGTTTAAAATAAAATTATGAGGTAAATTAACAAAGAAAGAACAAAAAAAGCAAGCACAATAAAAAGAAAAAAAAAAAGAGCTTTATTGTTTTTAATTAGTTTTTATAATTTAAAATATCACAATCCAAAACAAATAAACTGTTTTTACCGAAGATCAAGCTTCAAACTTGAGAGATTAATGCACTTTGCTAAACCAGAACCTAAGCCTAATGCACCTTCATCATTAATTTAATTTCTACTTTTTAAATATTAAAGAAAAATATATATAATTAAATAGCTAATTAGAAGGAAAAAATGAAGAAAATATAAGAAATAATAAGATTTATTAATTAATAATAAAAGCAAAAGTTAAAAATAAAATTATGAGTTAAATTAAAAAAGAAAGAATTAAAAAAAGCAATCAAGGACAATAAAAAGAAAAAAGAGCTTTTATTGTCTAAAATTAGTTTTTATAATTAAAAATATCACAATCCAAAACAAATAAACTGCTTTTACAAAAGATTAAGTGTCAAATTTGAAAGATTAATGCACTTTGCTAAACCAGAACCTAAGTCTGATGCACCTTCATCACCAATTTTATTCCTTCTTTTTAAATATTGAAGAAAAAATATATCATTAAATAGTTAACTAGAAGGAAAAAATGATGAAAAAATATGAAATAATAAGATTAATTGATTAATAATAAAAACAAAAGTTGAAAATAAAATTATGAGTTAAATTAACAAAGAAAGAATGAATAAAAAAAAGCAAGCAAGCACAATAAAAAGAAAAAAGAGCTTTTATTGTTTTAAATTAGTTTTTATAATTAAAAATATCACAATCCATAACAAATAAACTGTTTTTACTCAAGATCAAGCGTCAAACTTGAGAGATTAATGCACTTTGCTAAACCAGAACCTAAGCCTGATGCACATTCATCATCAATTTAACTTGAACTTTTTAAATATTAATGAAAAAATTTGTAATTAAATAGTTAATTAGAAGGTAAAAATAAATGAAGAAAAAAATAAAATAATAAGATTAATTAATAATAAAAACAAAAGTTGAAAATAAAATGATTAGTTAAATTAAAAAATAAAGAATAAAAAAAAACAAGCAAGCTCAATAAAAAGAAAAAAGAGCTTTTATTGTTTTAAATTAGTTTTTATAATTAAAAATATCACAATCCAAAATAAATAAACTGTTTTTACCGAAAATCAAGTTCCAAACTTGAGAGATTAATGCATTTTGCTAAACCAGAACCTAAGCCTGATGCACCCATTGCGCCAATTTAATTTTCACTTTTTAAATATTCAAGAAAAAATATAAATAGTTAATTAAAAGGAAAAAATGAAGAAAAAATATGAAATAAAAGATTAATTAATTAATTAATAATGCAAGCAAAAGTTGAAAATAAAATTAAGAGTTAAATTAACAAAGAAAGAATAAAAAAAAAAAAAAACAAGCACAATAAAAAGAAAAAAGAGCTTTTATTGTTTTAAATTAGTTTTTATAATTAAAAATATCACAATCCAAAACAAATAAACTGTTTTTACCTAAGATAAAGTGCCAAATTTGAGAGATTAATGCACTTTGCTAAACCAGAACCTAAACCTGATGCACCTTCATCGCCAATTTAATTTTCACTTTTTAAATATTAAAGAAAAAATAAAATAGTTAATTAAAAGGAAAAAATGAAGAAAAAATATGAAATAATAAGATTAATTAATTAATAATAAAAGCAAAAGTTGAAAATAAAATTATCAGTGAGTTAAATTAAAAAAGAAAGAATACAAAATAGCAAGCACAATAAAAAGAAAAAGAAAAAAGAGCTTTTATTGTTTTAAATTAGTTTTTATAATTAAAAATATCACAATCCAAAACAAATAAACTGTTTTTACATAAGATTAAGTGTTAAATTTGAGAGATTAATGCACTTTGCTAGACCAGAACCTAAGCCTGATGCACCCATTGGACCAATTTAATTGGAACTTTTTAAATGTAGAATAAAAAATTAATAGTTAATTAGAAGGAAAAAATGAAGAAAAAATATGAAATAATAACATTTATTAATTAATTAATAATAAAAGAAAAAGTTGAAAATAAAATTATGAGTTAAATTAACAAAGAAAGAATGAATAAATAAATAAATAAATAAAGCAAGCAAGCAAGCAAGCACAATAAAAAGAAAAAAGAGCTTTCATTGTTTTAAATTAGTTTTTATAATTAAAAATATCACAATCCAAAAAAATAAACTGTTTTTACATAAGATTAAGTGTTAAATTTGAGAGATTAATGCACTTTTCTAAGCCAGAACCTAAGCCTGATGCACCCATTGGACCAATTTAGTAAAAATATCGATTTTACGTTTTATTTTTATCAAATTTTAGGTTTTTTTATGAAAGAGGAAAATGGGTATATATGCAAAATATTCATAAATTAGGTTTTCTTTAATAATTATCAAATAAATAAAAAACAAAAAATATATATAAATATACATATTAAAAATTAATTTTAAGTTGTATTCTGAGTGCATTTATATGTGCGAGTATTTCTATTCTATTCTTCTATTCTGGACCAATTTATTTGGAACTTTTTAAATGTAGAAGAAAAAATTAATAGTTAATTAGAAGGAAAAAATGAAGAAAAAATATGAAATAATAACATTTATTAATTAAAGCAAAAGTTGAAAATAAAATTATGAGTTAAATTAACAAAGAAAGAAGAAATAAAAGCAATCGAAATAAAACTAAATCAAATAAATTAAAAGAGCTTTAATGTTTTAAATGAATTTTTATAATTAAAAATATTACAATCCAAAACAAATAAAATGTTTTAATCAAGTGTAAATATTAATAGTGAAAAAAAAAATATAAAATAATAAAAAACAAATAATCTATAATTAAAAATTGAAATAAAAATTAAGTTAAAATAACTAAAAAATTTTTGTTTTAATAAAAATCAATGAATGAATGAATGAATGAATAATGATGAGAATTTTTTTAAATAAATTGAAAGTTAAATATATAGAAATTAATAATAACAATAAAAATAATATTTATCAATTAAATACCGGAGATCAACATGGAGAACTTAATGAGATGAAAGTGAAGAGTTTAAAAACTTTTATTATTAATATTTATAAATTTAAAGGATATTAATAAAAAAATTAATAATTACTTCTTCTAATTCTTTATATTATTTAATCTATTATATCATTTATTTTTTTTTTCAAAAATATTGGATAGAAATTTACAGATTTTAATTAATTATACACGGATAAAAAGAAAAAATAAAATATAATAATTAATTAATTATCAAGTATTAATTTATAAATTTGCTTTTACGAAGAGATATCACATAAAAATTAATTTAAAATTCATTATTTAATTTTAGCATTTGTATTTAAAATAAACACTTAAAGATGTAGTAGAAATTTATTTAATTACACTGCTATATTATTTAATTCAAAATTTATCTTTCTTGTTTATGAGGGGAAAAAAACTCCACTTATTATGGTTATGAAATAGTAC